TTGCAAATAATATATTGCTCTATTAAAAAACGGGAGTGGAAAAGGGGAAGGATGAAAAGGGGTGGGGGTGGGGTGGGAGGAAGTTTGTGGTGAAATAGAATTAAACAGAAAAAAATATGTCGTACTAAATTACACTGACAAGTATGTCTCAAGATCACCCTGATCAGTGTAACAAATTGATCGGTAACAAATGTAATACATGAGAGAGATTCTTTTAAATCGAATAAACTGCCCTTGTGATATTCTCCGTATAGCAAAGAAGCAGATCAAATAGCAGTAAAAATCTGAATAACAGATAGGTATGTTAAGGGGCAATGAGAATAAAGAAAAATAACCAGTTATCAACAGTGAATAGTACAAAAACGCGACAAAGCAAACGTATTTATTGGCTACAGTCTCTTCTGTCATGTCATGAAGATAAGGACAGAGCACGCAAGGGAATGCCCCGAGTGCTGTGATGTCAATTCTTGGCTCAGTTCAACTCAACTTAACTCGTCTGTCATGCCTCGACTGAATAAACTGGCAATGTAAACTTTTCAAAGCAAATAAAATTGCGCGGATGTAAGAGCTGGACACTGATATATAGACAGTACGAACGAAAGCTTTATAATTAAAAGGGAAAATGCTGTAAAGGACTTCCGCACATCTGCTATAGCTATCATGCAACAGATAGCTAAATCAGTAAGAGAATAATTAGACGCACATTCCAAGAAGAGGGACCGGACTCTTTTCAAAAATGACCTTGGCTTCCAGGTATACCCAGCCTTAAATGGATACCAGGTACAGTCATGGGAAGTAAAGACGATTGGCGTGATGATGACCACATCGCTTACCAAGTGCAGTTTGGTCTATAAAATATAAGTCCAGCTCTATATACACGATATGCCTAGGGGCGTGAAAAAAAGTCCTTTTTTTAACATTCCAAGAAAAACCACTTCTCCCTGTGGCGAAGCGGAAAGCTCTCATTGTGGGAGCTGGTCTCCCGCCATGAGTCCATTTTACACTCGTTCTCTAACTGTTAGTGATAACCGAGCACATCAATCTGGGCAGAATCATAACTGCTCCAGAGTTTAGACTTTTGTAGAGTGTGTAAGTAAAGTTAATAAAGTGAATTATTAACACGGCTGTATAAGTCTATAAGTAAATAAGATCAGCAGATAATCTGATAATGACCTTAGCAGATAAAATAAATTATAGTCACAAAAAAGAAAACGAAGGATGTGATCTTGAAAGTGTGTGAAATGAAAGTAAGTGCAGCGATGCTGAGAGAAGAGACAATTTTAGAAGTTAACACGATGCAACAACCTGAAAAGAAATCATGGCCAGGAGCAACAAGATTTCACAGCGACTCCGTCGGAAAGCTGCGGGCATTCCTGTTGTGCGGGACAGATAATTCCCCTCACAAACATAAAAACACATAAAATGTGCTCACGGATATAAGACGCGTCTATATTTATGCCACTGCTTATAGATCCCGCCGATCTGGGATTGGAATTTGTCATATTGATCCAGCGATCTCTTGGCTGGGCCATTGACATGGGAAACGTTCAATCCGAGGGAAACGAAATAAACATTACGCCTGAGCAAGCTTTCTTTCATGTGCCTTCTAAAACTGCGTAAATTTACAATGCTCAAATGAATATTATTTAATGAAACTTGTTGAATCATATCGCCTGACATGCTTCCCTAACGTTGATGGTAAAGATATTATCCCACGTTGCGCTGTAGAAAACTATCTTAGAGGGTTGTTCGTTCAGACTTTAGTGGTATTTTTCATATAATTATTTGTAAGAAATATGTCACAGAAAGGCAAACATAACAAGAGGCATCTGGTCATCAGAAAAAGTCCTTCCAACGCCGACTGTTCCAACCTCTTTACTCTCAAGACCAGTGGTTCCTAATGCCGCGACGTCTCGATAAAATTTATAATGTTGTGGCGACCCCCAACCATACAGTTTTTTTTTCCGTTGCTATTTAATAACTTCAGTAAATATGTGTTTTCCGATGGTGAAAGGATCGTTCGACCCGTTTGAGGGTAGCGTTCCATAGGTTAAGAACAGCTGCTCTAGACGCTCTCTGAGCTCTGTGTACCCAGTCGCCAATCCTGGTGTTTACTACTGTTAGGCTTCTAGTCCTATGCGTTTGTATGTTATCCACTGAGTGTCCCAGAAAAAGGTCAGACTTGTAAATGGTTCTGATCACAGTGCGCCGTGAGTAAAGGGACTGGCCAGTGCGTGCTGCAAAATCAGAATTTCAACAAATGATTCCTGCCAGCTCTTGCCAAGTGATGTGATTATCTATAGAGATGGCTCTGTGTTGAGAGGCAAGCGATGTTCATGGGGTTGTTAGCAAAAGCGAATAGACGTTGCTTAGTGCAACAAAACTTGTCATATGACTGAACAACGTCTAGTTTGAAAATAAAGGTGGCGGCAGTCACTGCTGCCTTCGGATGGCTTGAGATACGTAATTGTAAGCGATTCATTGAACATGTTGAGAAAGTTAGGAGAGCAGGCATCGCTTCAGAGAACCGGGTAGTTAGCGTCCTTTGGATATTTTTAAGAACATTAGGCGAGGAGAGGAGTGGGTCGAAGTGCCACCTGAACAGTCAGACTTGTGTATGGTCATAATCACAATGAGCCGGGAATGCAGAGACTGTCCAGCTTGTGCCACGGAGGTGGAAATTCAGCAATTAATTCAAGATAATGCTAGCTCAGAGGATTTGATTATGTACACTGACGGTTCAGTGTCTAGAGGCAAAAGAAATGATTGGGGTTTCTCAGCAAAAGTTAATGGTCGACGTTTGGTGCAGGAGAGCTTAGCATATCACACCACAACATCCAGCTTAAGAATGGAGGTGGGGCGGTCACTGCAGCTTTCCGCTGGTCAGAGAAAAGGACACACACATACACACACACACATACACACCCACCCACATATCGTGATTGTAACTAACTCAAAAAGCATGCTGAGGAAGATCAGGACAGGCATGCTTCGTGCAGAGTGGCATGAATCGCTGCTGAGGACACAGGTGAGGAGTATTGTCTGGATTTTTTCACAGGGCACGCCGGTGTGTTAGAAAATGTACAGGCGGACAGACTGGCTAGCTCTGCACAACTTGGTGGAATACTGACGCATGATTAGTCCGACGTGGTTAGTGCCTTGTGGGAGAGCGTGAACAATTCAGAGAAGCAGATGGATCACCACAGTCTGGCGAGATTGATGCATGGGGAGTGACGAGAGGTTCTGGCAGATGCTCGAGGTTCTTAGGAAAGGCAAGACGGACGTTTAATCAGAATGCTACTAGCACCATTAGTATTGGAACTCTTTGCTGGCTGCTGAAGATAAGGGCAGAGCGATTAGGGGAATGCCCCGAGTGTTGTGATAGCAATTCCTAATTAAGTATTAAATATGACTGTCATCCTATTGTTCGACTACCTTGAGTTTTTCCCTCTAGTAAATGATTGTGTATTTTAATGTGGCTAACATTTCACATGCCTTTTTTATTTCTAGTCCCACCGAAACATTATTGTAAACCTTAATGATCCTCACACTGTCTGACAATTTGGTTGTAATTAAACAGTTCAGTGAGGAATAGCTGTTTAATTAATGTACTTTAACATTATCAATGCTTTAATTTTGACACTAAAGTTACTTATTTGTGCTATGTCACATTTACTGTCGAAGTAAACAGTTTGATCATCAACACATGTTTTAAGAATTACAGAAAAACACTGTCAATGTTTTGATTATAACTTATAACATTTTTGTGTTCTTTCAGGCTTTCCGTGACAGGAGTGTTTGGGTGGAACACGGGTGATGAAAAATTACGGGACACAGTTCTCTTTTACAAAGCCGCTTCATCAGAAGAATGCTTTGTCCTTCGAGTACTTCATAAATCACTTCCGGAAGCAAGTGCTCACCTCGCGGCTTAAGGTTGACACCGTGAAGTACTTGCTATAAGAATTTATTTTCCCTGCTCTGTTGCAAGAGACAATGGGAGCAGCGTTGTAATCGCTTTAGGCTAGAAACCGCTTTGTGGTTGTCGGTGACACAGTTTTCACATGATCGCTAAAAAGGCTGACATGAAAGTCTTCGAAAAATGTCGATCTAGCAAATGTTTCTTTCAGGATAATGTAACGTTGTCGATAAGTATTGTTCTCAGGCAGCTATCCTGTTGGATAAGACACAGGTACTGGACTAGTTTACTCAACCATCGGTAACATCCAATGATTCAGAGATTTAACTTTAAATATTAGAACACAAAGAGACGTGAGTTATACAGTTTACACATAGGAAACACATGGGCAATGTTTCAGCAATGGTGCTATAGATTCAGGAACTGTTTATTAAATAAAGCTGAAAAATAAAAACACTGATGTGTGCTGGATACTTGAGACAACACTGAAAAAAAAAAGCCACTAGAGGTAAGCGATAAACATGTCTGCAGCAGCAAATAAAGAAGATGGTTTAACTGTCTGGCGTTGCAGTGAAACTTAAATGCAAGGACTCGGTGCGTAATTTATGTTTCAATTGGCCTGAGAATATAAAAGGGGGAGTGACGAGGTTAAAAGATACGGATCCAAACCTGACTGTGCATTGTCTCCTCACAAGCACCTTAAAGGCTAAACATTACCAGCGTTACACATCGGCAAACGTTATTATTGCTGCAAAAAGGTTCAGGGTTGAACTTTGACATTATTGCAGGCAGGTTAAACAAATACTCACAAAACTCACCGTATTGAAGTTTTGTTTAGTATTCACTGACAATTACAAGGTCACTCGGCCAGATTTTTTCAGCCTGGCTAGCTAGCATAATAATATAAAATAACTTATTTGATTAAATATCAACATTTTCCACACGTGACTAAGAAACGCTCTCCACATATGTGAGAGACCTATATCTATTTACTGTCAACTTTTGTTTTGGATTAAAATAAATTTTATATTGGCTATCAGTAATTGTATATTTCGAGTGGTTACTGGACAATTATTCAACCAAAATGGCAACAACGGCATATATGAACGAGACTGTGAACATCACCTTACCCGAAGCTCCAACGTTCACTACCGCTAGTCTCACAAAAACGATCGTTTTCGGAGTTATGTTTGTGGTCTCTTTCATTGGAAACTTGGCAACTTTGGTACAGATGAAACGTCTTCGAAACTGGAAGAGCACATTCAAAACTCTTATAATCAACCTGGCCATAGCGGATTTGTTGGTTGCTTTCTTCTGCATCGCCGCGGATGCCGCCTGGGCTGCTACTGTGCAGTGGTTGGCCGGAGATCTTATGTGTAAATTCGTCAAGTACATGCAGGTAAGGCATACGTTTGTGCTATACATGCTAAAGCAAATGCATCTGTAGTCCTATTCTGCATTACATTATATTCCTTATGTGCTATCGGTATCTGTTCAAAGCGTATACCGTTATATTATCATTATCAAATAATTTGCGAACCTATATAGAGGGATTAGTCGTATGTTTGATTCGCTATGGAAGATGGTTCTAAAGTTGAACTCCAGTGTACGAAAAATGTGTTTTGTATAGGCGTTTTGTTGTTTCTATTTGATTTGAACCACGATCAAAGATCATTAGGAGCATTCTGAAATTTGATTAAAAACAAATTTAGCATTCTGAACAGTCGGCGTTTACAAAGCGGTAACAGCATAACAGCTTTTAGAACCGTCTGTTCTAAGAATGTTACCTATTAGGCATACAATCTGTTTTGAAGTGATTTAAGGCGCTTGATGGTTGAATTATAACAATCATCCCATATTTAGAGAAACAGTCACTATCATCACTAAATGAGTCTGAATATAGGAAGTAAAAAAAAACATTAAGCATTGTTTTCGTCTTTGCTTATTGCATAATTTCCATGACTCACATATGCATGCTTTTACACTTTTTTTCTTAAGTTTTGTTTGCTTGAGCTCACTATAGGACTGTAATGTTGTCTAGTTACACATTGCTTTATAAGCAACACATGCGCTCTTGCATCTTCTTATGAACCTAAAATTTACGGACGGCAGACGAGCTGACAACAGTTGCAAACGCATACATATAACAATAAAGTCTTAACGATATATTTAGAGTACATCGACTATATTCACGCATCAGTAAAATTACTTAAAAAAAATAGGTTCAAGACAAATTGCCCTTACATAGTAATTTAGGTTCAACCTGTCTGACAGTCTGGGTCATGTTAAACCTGTCCTTTTTTTTCCTTGAAAGAAATGCACAGATTGATAGTTTACAGCTAGTTGGCAACTATGAACCTCTTTTAACTACAGTGAAAGGGCAAAAAAATGCAGTGGTTTATACATGTAATAAGATCTAACGGCCTCTCAAAAACAATGCTGCAGGGCTCGGTAGTAGGAAAAAAAAAAGAAGATGCAGCATAAGAAAGACCTGGTTACAGAATCTGACTGACTGGACAGGCCTCAGGCAAGCAACCATGAAGTCCATCGCAGCTGACCACCAAAGGTGAAGAGAGCTGATCAGTATACAGAAACTGGTGACCCAACGACACGTAGTGTTACTGGATGATGATGATGATGATGATGATAGTATACAGTACAAGGGGTGAAGGAGCGTGACAAGATGAGCAATACTGGAAGGGTCCTGAAAATGCCGGCTGCACACAACATTTTATTTATTTATTAGGCATACACGCTGCAGCAAAGAACGGCACAGACTCGCTGAGCTAGACAACTGGAGGGAAACAAAATACAACATTTCTTGAATAAGATTAGCTCGCAATATTTATAAGATCCCGAAAATACCGAGACATGCAAAACACATGTGAAATCTGCTTCATCGTGCACAAAGGCTGCAGCGAAATTGAACGATAAGCTAGATACATAAAACTATACTATCTCCTTTCTGCAAATAATATCTTTATCGAAACATGTTCTGCCTGTGCGCATATTGTAGATGGATCACAAAAGAATGGATGAATGAATCAAGAATTGACATCAGTGCAGTCGGGTCATTGCTTTACGTGCCTCCTTACTTTACAAAATGGCCAATGTAGAGTTCCACTGTTGACGATACCAGATATATGCAACTCGATTAAAATGTCGTATGTTTTAGAGAATCATCTAGACCCTCTCCTTTTACTCCTAGCTGAATCATTGTCTCTGGATAGAGACACTACCTCTGTTTTGTTTACTTATTCTACAGCACTCACCATGTCTATTTGATCATAAAGTAGCTAAGCTCACCGTCTAAAGGGGCGGTAACAGCTAATCTATCAGCCAACTCATTGCCACGCAATTGTATATCCTGGTCAATCCACAAGAAGCTTCTAATATGAATCTTATCAAACGATGCAAATCACAATGCAACCCTGCATGCATATTTAGTGAGTAGTTTCTCATGTGGAAACAGCTGAGGTAAATATAGCGTACTGGCCTCTGGGCAGTGATTACATCCCCGCAGAAGTGTACATTTCAAAAGTTACTAGTATCTTTAGACACTACAAACGTGCATTGTGGAATTACAGATTCTTCATTAAAGGGCAGCAAATGGGTAAAGCCGACATCATGAGCAGTTAATCAGAATTGCAAACTGTACGTCAAGCTGGTCACTCCATATTTGCTCCGCTCTTGTGTCAGTGAAAGCTATACATAATGTCCGTCGTTGTCTCTTGCAATCACAAAAACTTAAACATAACTGCAGTCTCTGATACCAATAGCCAGCACACAAACCCACATAAAAAAAAAAAAAAACTTTCACTGCCACAAGGTTATACCACGTCAGATAAGTTAAGTTTATAGACTGAAAAGAGCAGCTATAAACGCCAGGACTGGTTGACAACACATACTTCAAAGCATTTGTGCCTATCCCGGCGCTCTTACAGTTGAATGCGACTGGAAATAATATGCAAATGTGTTGGAGGCAGTTCAATATTTGCTCTATTAAAGAAACGTCAGTAAAAAATAACAGTTGGTGGCTGTGCTAATCGGCATTAAATGAAAATTTATGCAGCTCTAGGCATTGTGTTAGTCGTTCCACTACACCCCAGTCCATCAAGCGTGGCCGAGAGGACAGGGATAAATTATCAGTTTAATAAATATTTTGAGTATGTGTCGTCAGTGGGATTACTGTAACTTTTGCTTCTTCTTCTTCTGTCTGCTTTTCCCTTATTTAAAAAAAAAAAAAAAAAAAATTGCAGTAGAGGTGATTAAACTAAATGCGATTTATGTCCACAAGTCCACAAACTGCTAATTTACAGTTGAGAATTTGGGAAAATATTGCATGTTGACTGTGGATTTTGGTTACCAGTTATGACCCAATATCAGAATATTATTGGCAAAGTAACAGCTCAGTTTAAACTATTACCTCTTAGTTAAAACAGAAAAAGGACAGTCGAGAATGACATGTCGCGTTCAGTGGCGTGTGATAATATGTGTTTAAGAATGCTGCAAACCATTTCATCCTGCACATATATAGAGATAGTCTGGTTTGCCGACTTTAAAACACGCACCATATAATAGTGTCTTTATATTAGTGTTCGTTTAAATGTTATTATTAGCACAGTTTAAAAAAAAATTATTTTTTGGTTATCACATGCTAAAGCTGTTTGTATTTTTAAAAGAGACGGAAGTAAAGCTTACTACTGTACTTGTAAATAACTAGGTGTCGTAAAAAAAAATGAGAATAGCGGAGGTAGCGTTAGTGAAATAAAAACAAATAAGGAAATGAAAACTTTAAAATCATGTGTTAAGCTCTTTAAGTTAACAATTTCAGTCATCACCCCCTTTCCTTCCCTATCCGCCGACTACTGCTCTGTCCCTCTTCGAAGGATTTGAAAATCATCACCTGACGATATTTTGTGTTACTGAACTTGATATCCCTGTCCATCCGGACCAAAATGGGGAGCAGGAATTGTAATAAATTTATCTCCCCGATCACACAAAAAAGGCCTATCAACTTACCAGCGGTCTCCGGCATGACAGCACTACAGTGTAACCGCCCAATCACAACTACTACTACTTTGAGTGGGTAAGGCAGTTACTGTGACTTAAAGCTCTCTCAATTAACAGTTGGTCTCCCCCCCCCCCCTAATTCACCGTCTACTCTTTCCCTCATCGAAGTAGTTGGGAGAAAAAAAAAAAACCAATTGAAAAGCAACGAAAACATGAAAAAATACCCATAATTACGAAATGAAAGCTCCGGTAAACAGCACAGTTTAATTCCAACGCAGTGTCAGACGAAATAATTAAATCTAAATGAATATAAATGGAAATCTGTGAAATTTCAGCGTAACCATGCAATCGGAAAGTTTGAAATGAAATCATAAGTATGCGAATTGGTCAAATTTGATCAACTGGTTTACACATATACCTGTACTTTTTTTAAAGTATTTATGGGGACATGGCTAGTGCTGTCGCCACGACAGTGCAAGTAATGATTTTTTTTTTTGGGCCCACGGATGAAAAAAAATATCAAATGCCGAACTCGGGATTCGACCCTGGTCTCCCGCACGGGAGCCTAGTGTTCTAGCCGTCCAGCCAACCAACCACTCCTTCTGAATTGAAAAAAAAAGCAAAGTATTTAAGATGTGTGTCCCGACTACTGTGTCCTGATTTTAACACAACTCAAAACCGCAGGCAATTGTTTTTTTTTTTCATAAACAGATATCCCAGATATAAACTTCAAGTATTATTGAAACGGCACAATAGAAATCGCACGCGTCTAACACGGCTATTGTCGCAGTCATTGTCTGCGCAGACAGAGATAGTCTTCGATGCTGCTCCCCCCCACCCTCTCTCAAATCCACCGACTACTCTCTAATTCATCGAAGGTTGTTTGAAAAGAAAGAAAATAGAAATCGTGTCTAATATTGTTAATGTCACAATAATTGCCTGCACAGATATAGAAATAGTCTCGTGTGCTGTACCACGCCAGCGAATAGTGGAAGTCGTGCGTTCCGACTAATGTTCATGCTCATTTACGGAGGTGGCTTTAATTAAATGTCACTAAAAGGAAAATATTAGTTTCGAAAATGTTCCTAACAAATGTCGCCACCTATTTCAAACCATGACAGGTAGGATCCCGGAATGAAAAAAAAAAAAAAATATCCTGAAAATTTCAGCTTAATCGGTTTAGTAGTTTCCGAGTCTATAGGTAATAAACACACAAACATTGATACATATATATATAAAGATAAAAAACGTACCGAGTGATCAGTAAATAAATACTATGTATTGAGCAAAACATAGTTGTATATTATGTGCTGAGTAATCCATAAACAGTCGGCGGCTGGGGCTTAGGCGTTGCGAACGCGCATCGTAATGCCGATGCGATAGTGG